TCTCCTCTGAGCCTAAACGGCCTCTGCTGACAGACCATCTGAGGCAGCTACACAGTTAGTATGAAGAAAAATCAAAGTGCAACCATAAATAGACTTTAGACTAAACTGCAGGTGCGATGAGCCTATGAAAATGAAGCAGAATGATGTCTATCCTTACTGGAATGAAGTCTTCAGCCTTTTCACATTTTCTGCTCTGATTGTGCAGGATAAATCTGCAAAAGACTCAAATAGGGTGAAATGTGTTGAGATATGGTCAATTTAAGACTGAAACGGCTCCGCTTTTAGTGGTGGCTGAAGGCAAAATATAGATTTATTCAAGAAAATGGGGTGGTGGTGGCCAGTGTAAAACAACAGGGGTGTTGTGGGTGTTTTTTAACATATTGCTGGCGTTCCTATGGGGTGGGTTTTTAGGTGGCTGCTTACTGGCAACAGTCAAAAGAGTCTAAAATAGATATTTTGGTCCATCTTCAAAGTCTGGGTTTTTTTTAGCCTCATGATTTGAGGATTTATATCATTCATGTGTGTAGTACTGTTTAAAGGTTGGAGGATGTGTCACACACAAGTTTAAAACTCAGGCTAAGTGTTCAGAATTAATTTAGTCGGTATGAAACAGAATTTAGAACTGTCTTTTCTTCCCATTTATGATGTGTATCGGAGTAAAACGAAAACATGTAGGGCGTAACCTGATTTTGGCCATTCGTAATTGATTGATTCGTTATGGCCTGGAAGTAAAATCTCCATACGTTTTCTCCATTGCGAAATTGATTTTGAAAGATAACTTTTAAACCTTTAAAGGGATACTCCACTTTTTTTGGAAATACACTCATTTTACAACTCCCCCCGAGTTAAACTCTTGAGTTTTACCTTTTTTGAATCCATTCAGCCGATCTCCGGTTCTTGCGGTACCACTTTTAGCATAGCTTAGCATACATCATTAAAGTGGACAAGACCATTAACATTTCTCCCCAAAAAAATTACCAAAGTGTTTCGATATTTTTCCTATTTAAAACTTGACTCTTCTATAGTTACATTGTGCACTAAGACAGACGGAAAATGTAAAGTTGCGATTTTCTAGGCTGATATGCAGGGAACTATACTCTCATTCCTGCATAATAATCAAGAAACTTTACCGCCGTACCATGAGTGCAGCAGGCGCGATGACTACACAAACTTAGCACTATTTTCAGGCGCTGCATCATGACATTACGCCTGCTACACTCATGGTAAGACAGTGAAGTTTCCTGATTATTAAATCATAATAGTCATTGTGATTTCTGGATTTTTTATTTTTGTCTCTCACTGTGGACATGCACCTACAATGACAATTTCAGACCGCTCCATAATTTCTAAGTTGCAACTTAGAAACTTGCAAAATAGCAGGGTGTTCAAATACTTATATTTTCCTCAATGTATAATACTGAAATGTTTTATATATATATATATATATATATATATATATACTGTATATATGAACCCCAGCAAGCACATTTAATAATAAAAAAAAAATAAGGCAATCAGGATTTGTAGAAATATGTGAATGATGGTGTTTTGTAGAAGCCCCAGAAACAAAAACGATTTCCACAACATAACTCACTTCTGACAGAGGCAAAAGATGTTTCAAGAAATAATACATCAATACCCAGCTGCTACAAGACACAGTAACTCAATTCCATAGGAATGCAGGATTGCGCCACATCCCAGAGATTTTGAAATTCTGTTCTGATTTAAAAGAAATCCGGGGCTGGAAGCAAACAAGAGCTGTGGGAATGAATATGACAAAAACACTTGATCAAAAACACTTGTTTCACTTGATCATTTAGATAAAAAAAAAGCCAGTGACTGTGTTTTGATTCTTGAAGGTGTATTGGGTAAATCCCTCCAATTGGGTTAATGTTAATGCTAAGTCAATGTGTCTTTTGACACTGAGCTGCTATATTTTATAGCATTTTCCCCATTACATCTTGAGGAGGGGGAGAGGGACATAGAAGAGAGAGAGAAACAGACTAAACACCTTTTGGCAGCTGTTCCAGCTTCACATTATGCAAGCTCATAGTCTTTCAAGGCAGTGCCAGCACAGCATGATACAACCTTATGAAACATTACCATAGAGAACAAGACAAAAGAGGGGAAAAAGATGCAGTGGCAGTGAGGAAGGAACGGGTGAGGCATGTGAAACAGGGAAGGATGGGATGAAAAGAAAGACGAGACAATGGAAAGTGTGTTAATAGCGCAAATCATGAGCAGTCATTCCATGGGAAATGGGAAACTAGGTTGGTCACGGAGTTAAAAGTGCCGTTTAAGCAAAACCGCAAGAAAAATAAGAGGTATACACACCGCAGACTTACCTCGGTGCGTTCACAGTTTATTACCGCCCCATCTCCTCACTTCAATTTATAACTATTCCTATTACAACCTGGATGGAGTACTCAATCTGGGTTGAGGCCAAATTCTGACCTTCGGACAGCACGCCAAATACTGTAAGCATAACGCTTTCACTCTATCCAATTATTTGTAAGTCTGAACTCGTGAATTTAGAAGGAGGGACTTATTCCGCCATATTGTGCACTTTCATCCATTCATAAGTAATATGAGCACACAGTCTCAAGTCTTTGGCACAGGTGCCCCACAAGGTCATGTGCTCAGTCCATTCACATTCACAACTGAACTGCCAACTTCAGCTCCAAGTTTACAGATGCAACAACTGTGATAGACCTCATCAGGAACAGCAATAATGAAACACTCTACAGAGAGGAAGTGACACAACTGGTTGAATGGGGTGGGGAAAACAACCTGTCCCCCTCAGTGTGGGGAAGACAAAGGAGGTTGTGATGAACGAAAGGAGTAACTCTGTTAAGCTCCAGCCACTGACCATTGAAAGCTCAACTGTGGAGTATGGTGGCCGAGAGAGCTCAACGTGCAGCACACGAAACACATGAATATAGCACGTTGACAACATGTGTAATGCAAATATTCACAACCCAACCAAATACAGAAACTGTAAGCTGTTTGCAGATTGTTTCTGCATTTGCGTTGTGAATATTTGCAGCATATTTGTTTTGTTTTTTTTCCGATTTGCACGTGTTTTCTTCAGTCACAGCGCATTGAGGTCTCTCGCCCACCGCAGTGGAGAGAGTCTGGAGCACTGAATTCCTGTGGGAGCACATCACAGATCTCACCTGGACCACCAACACTACATCCCTCTCCAAGAAGGCCCAGCATCGCCTCCACTCCTGCGCCGGCTGAAAAGAGCACGTCTCCCTCATCCTCACCGCATTCTACAGGGACACTCTTTAGAATGTGCGGACCAGCTGCATCACTGCCAGGTGTGAGAACTGCAGCGTTGTAGACCCTACAGCGGAGAGTGAACACAGCTGAAAACATCATCGGTATCCCCTTTCCCTTGACCCTGGACATTTTCCATGCACAATTGTGAAGGACCGCACCCACCATGAAGACGGTACTGGAGCATCAGAGCCCGCTCTGTCACTCTGCTCAACGGCTTCTTCACCCAGGCCGTGAGTTCCCAATCACCCCTATACTGTACATCCGGAACCAGGAACTCAACACCCCCCTCCCACCCTGCCACACACTTAACCTCTTGCTGCGATTGTTCCCCAATAATTGTTCACTTCAAAATTTCTTTACAATTGTTATGTGCGATACTATACGAGCTAGGTGAATGAGCCCATCTTCGGCAATACTTTCGATACTCCTTATGTACACTGGACACTTGCATTTTTCTTTTATCTTGCACTATCCCTGTTTGCACCGTTTTTGTCTTCTGTATAACTGCTTCATGTGTAAATCTAAGCATATGTCTAAAGTTCTTATGTAAAGTATTTCATTCCTTTCAGTGTTTCCACATATAGCAGAATGACAATAAATCTCACTTGAACGTGAGAATCATAAGTTTCATATAAAATAAAATAAAAACAATTCAAAAACAGGTATTGGGCATTTAGGGATAACACAAATAATCTAGAATTGGTTATTTTATTATTAAGCATATCAGAAAAATAATCTTTAAATCTTTAGTATATTTAAAAAAACAGTAACATTTGACAAATATGCTATTATATAATTATAATGAGACGTTATATAATAAAAAAAGAATATAATAATATTGTTATATTATAATAAATATATTAAAAATAAATATGAAATAAAATTCACATTGTGTGCAAATTGCAAAATTACAGGAAGTAGCTGTGACCACTCCATGCTAGAAAAACAAACAGTTTAATGCATCTGCAGAAAACTAAACAAGAAACATAGCGTGTAAGAAGAGGCACTAATCTGATCCAGATCCAAAAAAAGCGAGTGCCCGTCCCCCTTTTTTACAGTAGCTAAATGTCAGATATGAAAATGAGTATTGTATGCACTGGAGGAGTGCGGGGTGGGGGGAGGCCAGGCTGAAAGGTCATCACAAGACTGAAACAGTCACTTGTGTGTCCGAACAATCCCTCTATCGATCAGCCTTGAAGGAGTGGGCAGAGGACAGGCCTGAATAGTGACAGGCCCTAGAGGAGGGCAGGGTTCAGTGACCTCTCATTCTTGGAAGAACGGCTCTGCAGAGAGGATAGTTTTTGTCACTCTGTGGCCGGTCTACTGCAACTCGTAGACATTAGGATTTTCTCTGCTTCTTAATTTTATTTTCATAAAAAAGTAACATGCAAATATGGAGAAACATTTACATTAATTTATTTAAACTAAAGGCATTTTTTGTTGTATGTAGTATTTTTAATTATTTGTTACTCTTGTTATATTATGTTCATAATATTTTAGGAGATTTTTATGGTTTTATGTTGAGTTTGAGGCCGTTTTATGAATCTTTTTGATTGACTTATTAAAAGGAAGTTCAAAAGAGTCATTTATTTGTGGATGGGACATCACAGCTCGTGCTGTACTCATTGTTGCGTGCAGGAACACAGGTTTTAATATCGGCTCTTTCCGGCATGAAAAGTCACAAAAAGAAAAGCTCAACAAGAATGGAAAATTGGTGTGATTTTGTAGATTTTTTTATTGAAAGCTTCATCAAAAGAAAAAAAATATAAACAGAAGTTTAAACCTAACATCCACTGGTCTACAGACACTCTCAGGATCACAGCTCGAGCACATGGGAGGCAAGAAAGTGAAGCAACTTTAAAAAAAAAAAAAAAAACATTGTAGCATCGTAAAACTGTTCTTCTTTCATATTTCAACACCTGTACAAAAAAAAAAGAAACATTTCCATAAATAATTCTCTATTTCATCTGCCAGTACGTTAGTGTCTAATTGAGGTTTTGCCGTTTGTCTTGAATTTGGTTGAATGTAGTACGCGGTTTCGTGACAGTCCAACGAACGAACGAACGAACATTTGTCAGTCAATGACCTCAACCGTGACAGCCAATCAGATGTACAGATAAAAATGCATGGCTTGGACCTCACATCCAATGAATAGGAGCCAGCGAAATCCTCCGAGTGGATAGAAGGTTTTTAGCTTACTAAATTACAGTTGGGATGAGAACTCCATCCTACAGTCAGAAAAACCTTCAGCTTAACCTGACACATTTATTCACTCATTAATGAAAAGCATGAAGGCTGCAGAGTGTACAACGCATTCAACGACATCACACACCTCTCATAAGAGACAGCAGCCTGAGTTTTCTCTGTCCCCTTAAATACCGAATGCTTGATAGCAGCGAGCACATGATAAAAAAAACTCTCCAAGAAGACAGTGGATGACAGACACAAAACACAGTGACTTTTCTCTTTGTTTTTTTTTTTTTTTTTGATTAAACAGGTGAAAAATGAAAAGCAGTGCTGACTTGGTCTTGTGAACTTGGCATCGATTTACTCCACAGTGTGAACTTGTCTCATAGCTCACTGCACTGGTCATCCCAGAGGATAACCTACACCAACTTTGCTATAATACTGTCCCCTAGTGGCTAATTGAGATCATTATGTAGCTTTTATAGGTCATATTGTAGGAATACAAGACCAAAGAGTTCATGATGGCGTTCAAAATGAACACATGAAGAAATTAAAATGATCTTGGCCCTTTAAGAACAGGTGAATTTATTCCCAGAGAACCTCAACTCTTTTTACCCGACAGTCCATAATTCACCATGTTTTGAGGCTCTTTGCTGATGTGTTGATAGAGGGATGCAGGGATGATGTATTTTTGAAGGCCAAAAACCCGGAAACGAGTTAGCATTTTAGCACTTCTGTTTACATCATCCAAAAGTCAGTGGATTTTATGGGTCGAGCTCAATATATTATCACATTTTATTTCACAAATTAAAAATATAGGCCTACCACTAATAGCCCATTGTGTTAAAAAAAACAAACAAAAAAAAAAAAACAAGGACTGATATGTTTGTCAGAAGTTTAATGGTGGTGATGTTTAAGTTATGTGACGGTGTAGTTTGTTTAGGCTATAGCCTACAGTACGTTTAACTTTTTACTTGTGGCGATTGTATTCACGCTTCAGAATTCATAAAAGTTGTGGTCACAGAGCTTATTTTCTGCAATAATCCAAACGCCAATTAAAAAATACTACAGAGTTTTGCACAAGGGTGAAGCTTACTTCCGGGTTGGCCTACAAAAATACGTCATCACTGTAGTGCTCAATAGAGTTTTGTATCAGATTGCATCAAAAACATCTACTTCATGGTAAATAAAGGACTGCAGCCTTGTTTTATAAATGAATATAAGATGTTACCACTTTTTCCTCTTCTGTTTGCTAGTTCCCCCCTCTGGAATGGGCAGCCTGATAAAATGAAAGCAGATTTCAGATATGGAAAGTCGAAATATCACACGTGATATTTCTAACCCTAATTCCGAGCTGTCAAGAAGGCACCAGAGCAACCGCCGAATCCCATGACGATGGGCACCTTAGACCCTGTCCCAAATAACAAACTCGATGTATTACTGAAGAATTACTCGCTGTCTCGCTGGATTACGTCACCAAAATCTGGACTTTAAAGCAACTGCAAGGGTTTTGGGACAGAGCCTTCGTTTTTCAAGTAAAGACTATTGTTTTCACGAGAGATTTCCTATGGCATCTGGTTGATTAAAGAAACTTTGCATATAACGTGAGGCGTTTCGATCGCAAAAAACAAACAAACAAAAAAACATCTACATAGAAGGACGGAGGTGCTCAGAACAATGGCATGCTAATGCTGCTAACTGCGAATGTTTCTCAGTGCCCCTGAAGCAAAGCTTGTGTTTTATGACCCGCAACACATTCTCCGGTGTTTCCTCATGGTAAAATTGCTTTCAATGAGGTAGTGATCTGTACACAGAGTTTAAATATACACTAGTGAGTGCTTCCTGTTAAGTTGAAATGATGAAAACGGCTTTCTTTGTGAGAAAGCTCAAACCGAACGGACGCGCGACGTGTTTAATAGTGACCAACCGTGGGTCGGCGACTGGGAGGTGCAGAGATAAGAGGTATAGTTCATTCAGCCGGGCAGACGCGAGATGATTGATGGTTCAGCCGCTCTCTGACGCCCTCTGGTGGGGAGATCACACTCATGAGAATCAGTGATGGTGGTTTTCTGCCTCTCAACTGAACGATTGACATAGATTCTGCAACAGTGGAAGGAAGTTTAAACCCTAAAGTACCAAATTTGGCCGTCAAGGTCAAACGGATACTTCTGAAACAAAATTAATATGCCAAAACATCTCAAATAGAAAAAAAGAAACTAAAAAATTTATCCACTCCACTGTCTTGAGGGGGGTTTCTTCATCTTTGGTATAAAATATGCCATCCATGGGCTGCATTTGATCCACAGCTAAGAAAGACTAAAGAAATTGTCAACAATTTCCTATTACTATTGCTTTTTGCACACATTTGCTTTTTTTTCGTTTCGATTTAATCCATAAGCTTTTATCTATGTAGATTTGCACTGCCTTTTTTTTTTTGACTGTTTTCTTTTTTTCCGCAATGAAACAAGCAAAGCAGGCTAAAAACACCTTAAAGCTCATAAAAAATATTGCAGATAAAAACAATAATGCCATTAAAAATGATCTGCACTACACAATAAACTGCATTTCCCATGATGCAGTGGATTAACATTTTTTCCTCTGTTTCTAAAAAATGCAACTCTGTTTAATCATCATCATCATCATCATGACCACAATATTTTTTTTTGTCTGTCCTCTCTTTTAAACACATAGTCACCACTGATAATTTAAAAACGTCTCAAGGAGACCTCTCTCTTCTTTCTATGTTTTATACAGGTATTTTTCCTTTCCTTGTTCAGGTCATTTTCACTGCATTCGTCAGTCTGTTCAGTTCAAACAGGAAAAAGTCTTAGATGTTTCTCGAAATTAAGGCAACAAAGATGAAAAAACATTAATATTCTCTAGAAAACTAAAATCTAACTCATAAAAAAAGAAAAGTAATAGTAGCTTAGAATCCGAGGAAGACTTCTTTTGCTCCTTCTCTCATTGTTTTACAAGAACGTGCTTCCTCGTCTAATAGAAAAACCCACTGTTTCTGAAAACCTACCTGCACATTCAAAAAAAAGAATAGGAAAACTTGTACTTGTTTGAATTCGTTCACTTCATGAAGGTAAAGTTTTTTCGGGTAGCCGATTAACAGTAGGCTCACTCTCCCAGACGTCATTTTTCTCTTTTCCTGTCTGGTTGTGAGCTCTCCAAAGGTCCTCCGGTGTGGGCCAGGTGTTAAATAAATTGTTTTTTTTTTGTTGTTGTTGTTGTTTTTTTAGATGCTTGTGCAAAAGTAGACACAAACGTGTTTTCCTATCTCTTGCGCTCTTGTCTTCAATGTTCCCTCGTCGCAGTCCCCCAGTCTCAAGGCAACGCAGTTACCTCAACGCCCCGCATCTCCTCTGGTTATCTGAACCAATGAGAAGACGAGAGTTTGAAAAGCATACTGGATGCAATTCAAGGTTCACTCATGGATCATCACTTAGTCCTGAATGCCCAATAACAAAAGCATTTATTGAGCTAAATAAAAAATCAGCTTAACCTCCAAGCCCAGCTTTATTTTTAAGTCTTAAAAATGTTGCTGCCGTTTTTATCCTACATACTTCATACAACGATTTGGTAGTGCAAAACATGCATTTCAGCCCCAGAAAAGTGATGAAGTTGCTAGCATTGAAACATTTTAGGAATCATCCTATTCCAATGCACAGACTATGTTCAAATCTAAGGTTTTGCTTTAGTACTGTTTTAACTATGTTTCCAAAATGTTTTAATTTGTTTGTTAAATTAAATTAGATGTATCTGGAACCAAATATAAGCTTTCTTATACACTACAGTCCAAAAGTTTGAGGTTAGAAAGTCTTAAGCTGCATTTATTTGATCAAAATACAATAAAAATAGTAATACTGTGAAATATTATTACAATTTAAAATAACAGTTTTCTATTTTTTTTCCCCTATTTTTAGTGCTCAAGAAACATTATCAATGTTGAAAGCAGTTGTGCTAGTTAATATTTTTATGGAAACATTTTTTAAGGATTCTTTGATGAATAGAAATTTAAAAAGAACATCATTTATTTGAAATAGAAATCTAATTATACTTGATCATCTTCTTGATCATCCATTTCTTTCAGAAAACTGGAGCTGGTTATTTCTGGTCATTTAGGTTTTGTTGTGATATAATTTTTAAAAAAATATTACACATTAGATTTCTTTATAAAAATGTTCTCTCAAACTCACTTGGCGGGCTGAAAAGAGTAGGTGGGCGCGTGATCGCTGGTGTTGTCCACGCCCAGAGCCTGTTGCTGACCGCTACCGTCCTGCGACGAGGGTGGAACGCTCTGTGGAGAAGCCTCCGTCACCACTCCCTGGAAGGATATGATGTCATAATTACAGGATGCCCCCTCACAAAAAACAAAAATACCGTCTAACCTCCTCCAGAAAAAAAGAAGGCTGTAAGGCTGTGTTTGGTACTCAGACAGGATTGAATTTAAAGACACGCTCCAGACTGGAGTCAGGCCTTGTAAAGCTGGAATAAACGGCACTAAGGAAGTTGTGGGTGGATTTTGGCCCGAGGCAACTGATACCCACATTTTCAATTAGCAGCGCTCATCTAATCAGCAGGACCAGTGAATTGATTTGCAGTCACCCAGAAACTCACCTCCACTGAGACAGCTGAGGCAGGCACCGCAGTGTACTGGGGAATGTAGGTCCCCTGCATAGGAGCAGCAGCCGCAGTCATGTACTGCAACAAAACATACACAGTTCAATTCACACACACGGCAAACAGTGCATTCCCACAGACCTATTTGCATTATGAACAAACAATTTTCCAATGTTAGAGCTAGGTTTTGTTTATTTTATTTATCTGTCTGATGAGAAAACTCACCACCCAATCAGATGTAAGATTTTGCGTCACATGTGCAGAGTTGCTGCTGGATATTAACGTGCAACTTGTGGCACTTACACATCAAAAGCTAATTTGCCCAAAAAGATGAAGCCCCGAAGGGGACATGGTGATGGAATAAAATCTGAGATGTTAGGGGAATTTTTTTTTTTTTTCAATAAATTTGCTCACAAAAGTTTTGTTTCCCAAACTATGGAATTGCTCGCAAAAATATGAACTATATTTTAATGCTTTTGCGAGGGAGGGGGGATGCAAAACTTTTTAGAGTGAGCATTGAAGTACATTTTTTTCTCATTACCAAGTCTCTTCAGGGGCTCCATAAAGACTTGGATGATGAACGATAGCAAACATGTTTTCACTACTTCTATAAGTTGAATCCTTTTTTCTTAATCTTAACTACTATTAAAAATGAATAATTGTACTTTTACTCATTACATTTCTAATGATTTACAATTTCGTTCAGCCCTTCAAGAACCAAAGTACACATTTTACTGCTCATAATGATGTAAAACGGTAATGAAATCTCAATGTAGAAGGTACATTTCTAAAAATGACAACAGCATACAGTATAGTGTCTAAACCTAAATTAATGCTAAATTAAACCAATATTGTATATGAACTTGAGTGCAAACATCAGCGATCAGTCTACAAACCAGTTTTTTTAAGTATTATTTATATACTATTATATAGTACAGTTAATATTTTGAATTTTGAAGATATTTATATTTTTAGTTTTAGTAATTTTAGTTCTTCAACTTATTTCAGTTGCAAGGCAACATTTCTAATTTTCATACGTTTTTCATGTAATATTTCTTTTTAGATTTATTTCATATACCAAAATCTTGATTCAGCAATAAAATCAGGCTTGGGTGTGTTTAACATTGACAATGTCAGGTAAAAGGTTTCAGGATATTGGCTTTAGTTCTCTTGATTAATTTCCAAAGCTAAGAACAAAGTTTTACCTTTTTTAATGCCTTTTACTTTGAAATACTTAAGTACAAATCAGTGTGGAAGCCTTATTTACTTTCACTCAGGTACATTTTTGGCTAGAACCTATTGAGTACAATATTAATGGAGTAGTTCACTTTAAAAAAAAAAAAATACTTTTGCTGATAATTTACTCACCCCCATGTCATCCAAGATATCCATGTCATTCTTTCTTCAGTAGAAAAGAAATTAAGGTTTTTGATGAAAACATTCCAGGATTTTTCTCCATATAATGGACTTCAATGGCAACCAAACTGTTCAAGGTCCAAAAGACAGTTTCAGTGCAAACTGCAAAACTGTTCAAAGGGCTTTAAACGATTCCAGACGATGAATAAGGGTCTTATCAAGCGAAATGATCGCTCATTTAAAAAAAAAAAACAAAGTTTAAGTTTTATAAACTTTTTATAAACTTTTAAAGCCCTTTGAACAGTTTGCAGTTTGCACTGAAACTGTCTTTTGAACCTTGAACTGTTTGGTTCCCATTGAAGTCCATTATATGGAGAAAAATCCTGGAATGTTTTCATCAAAATCCTTAATTTCTTTTCGACTGAAGAAAGAATGATATGGACATCTTGGATGACATGGGGGTGAGTAAATTATCAGTAAAAGTTTTTTTTAAAAGTGAACTACTCCTTTAACACAGTATCCATATTTTATTTCCCAGTACTTTTTTACTCTCCTGGGCAGAGCATTACTTGGTTGTTCTTTGTTCTTTTTCAGTTTGCATAATTTTAATTAGAGTTTAGCTTTGTTCCTCTGCTCCACTGTGAATCAGACCAGCTGAAGGTGAACCCTAAGATAGAGACAGCGGACACACTCACAGTGCCAGTGGTACCCAGGGACATGTGGTTCATCTGCTGGGTGAGGGGTGCCATCATGTTAGCAGGCTGCATGGAGATGGTGTGGTCCATGGTTGGTGTTATCACAGCACCCTATGAGAGGACACACACATATAAACACACACTGTTACATGTCAAACCGCGTGAAGGACGGGAGAGGAAATGAGCTACCATTCAACAACACATCTGGACGACTTCATTAAAGTCACTGATCATGCAGTCATGCTCTAAAAAAAAAAAAAAACTCTCCTTCTTTCACTCATCTCATCTCCGTACGGCCACAGCTGGGCCCTAATATGAGGGCCAGACGTGAGCTGTTCCACTTCAACAAGTGAAATAATGCGATCCAAATGCGAGTCATGCATACTTCTGCAGAGATGATGCATTGCTCACTTAACAGCAGAGCTGCTCCACACCGCGGGTGTGTTTACGTTTCAGGCACACTGGGATGAGAGTGCTAACACATGTGAGGAACAGACAGGAGAGAGAGAGGGGGAGAAAACGGCTGCGATTTGTAACCGCCGACCTGAGCTATCAACTGATGCCGTCACACGACCGCTTCAGCAGAACTAGGCCAGAGACGTACACACACGCTCATTCTCACATGCCAACTTGATTAGGATTAATCTTTCCGAGGAGACCCTCCGTCAAAGTTCGTCAGAAAGTTCGATTCTTCTCAGATGGTTTGGCAAAGAATGATGAGAAACCATTGTGTGGTGTACAACAACTCTGGTTACAGTTATGTGAGGGACTCTTTCCTGTTAGAAGTGCTATAAGAGCAGAATCACTCGCCCAATGTAGCAAAATGCTTTACTGCAAATTCATCTGTCCTGACTGCAGAAAATTTAGCGTTGTCATCACGAGAAAAAATTCCATGTTAAAATATATTAATATAGGAACATGTTATTTTAATTGTCATAATCTTACAGTTTTTACTGTATTTTTGATAACTTAAAAGCAGCATTGGTAACCATGTCTTTGTAAAACATAAATCTTACCGACCCCAAACTTTTGAATGGTAATGTAAATGCCTTAAAGGGATACTCCACTTTTTTTTTGGAAATTGACTCATTTTACAACTCCCCCAGAGTTAAACAGTTGAGTTTTACCGTTTTCGAATGTATTCAGCCGATTTTCTGATATTTAGAAGAATATCAGTAACCAGACAGTTTCTGGTCTCATTGACTTCCATAGTATATTATGTATATTATAGTATACTAAATATCAGAAAATCGGCTGAATGGATTCGAAAACAGTAAAACTCAACTGTTTAACTCTGGGGGAGTTGTAAAATGAGTCAATTTCCCCCAAAAAAGTGGAGTATCCCTTTAAAAGACTTTCCTTTTCTGCTGTCGTCACTAAAGCCAAGCAGACTGTTGGATAATGTTAACTAAAAGATAGAAACTAGTTTTTTAGGTACTATTTTAACAAAAGGCCCGTTTATACCAAATACAACTAAAACGATAACTACATCAGCTTCCACTGCAATTCACAAAATCGCTGTTTATTCTAAGTGTGTGCTTCAGTTTTGACACTTAAAATACTCACGCTCTGGGATGGATTCTGATTGTCTGCAAATGTTTTTATCGTTCATGGCTGGAAAAAAAAATTGTTCTGAAAGTGATTCCCACGATAGTGTTTCTCTGTGCCGTTATTGTGGTGTGTCCAATTCAAAATCTATTTAAATAAGCAGTTTAAAGCTACACTGTGGGATTTTTACCCCTATCTAGCGGTGAAAAGGTATATGACCATCCAGGGAATATTAGTTTCTGTTCCTCTCAATTCCGATTTCGTTTTAACTCCTACGGTGGCCAATGTAGTCCAAGATTAACATGGCTTCCAGTTTGACCTCATCCATGTTAACTCAAACGTAAACACAAAAGGCGAAGCTTGAATTAACGGGTATGTCCCTCTTTGGCTAATGTACTTTCAAGATGGAGGGGCAACATGGCGACCGACATTAGAACCCCTTACCCGTATGTATTTTCAATGGCATATTATACACTCACGAGAATACTTTATTACTTAAACGAAGTAAATATACATTAATCAGCACATATATTTTGGAAAGAACTAAGTGTTTTTAGCTAAGAATAAACTAAAAGAGTTACACAGTGTAGCTTTAAAGATGTGACATTATGATGTAAAATAACAATAAGAAATTTATAATAGTATTATTATTTCTGCAGCAGGTCAATAATCAAACAAGTCAATTTGTGAAATCTATGCAATTTGAGTGATCCAGTATATGTACGGGAACTCCGGATTGTTTTCTCCATTTTCTGAAGACACATTCTCTCTGAGTGTGCCAACAGTAAAAAAAGAGAAGCCTTTCCACACACAAACACGCAAGCTTCAGTCTGTCAGCTTGCACAGCTTGGTAGTGCTGGTGTTTGCCTGCGCTTGAAGAATAAACTGTACAGGCACTTGGTGTCAGAAGCGCTCTGTCTCTATTCAAGCTTTCAGAGGTAAACCGTTCAGCGCTTTCTGCGTCTTAGCTTTCAGATGCGAGAGCCTCAAGCTAACAGTTCCCCCGCCCCACGACAAGCTTTCATAATGAGCGAAGAAAAAAGAAATCCATGCTGAATAATTCTCCACTCTAATTTACAGCCGTATCAGTGTGAGACTTAGACAGATGATTAAAGCTGCGCTTGTGCGTACGTGTGCATGCGTGTGTGTGTTTTTCCCTTCATTTCCCTCAGGGGGAGTATTCGGAAAGTGAGTGACACTCTGAGAGAGATTTCCGAGGCAGCCAACGAGATTTCTTTCTTTAAACAACAGCCTGTATACTCGTTTTCAACCTCAGACCAAATATACATTTATCTAAGCTGATGTTTTCGAGTACTGGGAGCAAAAAAATGTCCGTGCCTGCACTTTAAAGCCAGAGGTTTCCGATGTAAACTGGACGAGGAGAAATCTCCAGTGACATCAGAGGAAGGAGAGTTTTTTTGCCAAGACATCTAAAATAGAGGCAGGAAAAGGAAGTGGCTCTTTTTGTCTCTCTCAGGTACCGGTGCTTTAAAAAAGCAGGCTGCCAGGGTCCAGGGAGGATGTCTAATATTAAGCTTAAACAATATGTGCCAAGGCATAACCATGAATTCCCACTATTGAAACGCATTTAAGAAAAACAAGCGTGCATTTTTCTTTCTCACGCACACACACACACGACACCCCGCCAATTCCCACCGTTCAAACAGAGCGTTCTCGGGCTCTGATGGGGCTGAGATAAACTTAAATCTTTACTCAAACATGGGCTTCTTTGTTTCTGCAAATGGCCGTGACTAGCGGGGGCTTAGAGAAGCGTTTCATTTCTTTTCTCTCCTCTTGCGTGGCGGTTCCACTTTAAGCGGCTTTGCCGTAATGCACTGCAGTCTTGATTCATTAATGTTCATTTCCAGGATGTGATTTGGTTAGGGCGGCTGGGGATTCTTCTCTGCGCTAAGATGGAAAGTAACAGGTACAGTTGAGTGATGGCCCTCTGGGTGGTGCATTGTGGGTAAGTGTGTGCCTGCTGGTTGGTGTGTGTGCCCTGCTGACAACATCTGTGCAGCTACCCTGCTGAAATTGCTTACACCAGCATGGATTTTCATGCTGGTTAATTGTGGTTAGTACTGGTGCGTTTTCCGTACAACGACGTAGTTCACTGTTTCACTACCATAGTACGATGCATCGTTGGAAAAATCAACTAGCTAGTCACGACTGTTTCCCGAAACCCAGTCGCAAAGTATCGTTCAACCACGTTGGTTTCGCACGTGGTGGAGTAATAACTACTTTCAATGAAACTGTTTGAGATCCAATTAACGCTAGATTCGTTTTATATAAATTACAGACATGTCATCTGAGGACTATTTCTAATTGTTCTCAGTTGTTCTGCTTTATTACCAGACTCAATATTTGGTTTTATACATAGTATGCACGTTCGCACATGCGCACTCTTCAAACACGTTACTTTAAATCTTTTGACAAACTAAAAGACGTAAATTACATTTGTATGTATTCTAAATAAAAGGCACCGGTTGTACTGAATGTCAGCTTGCTTGTTTTGCTCAAGATAAGGATTTATTACCTCCAAATGTCATGCAATATGGAAACGATGCCTCTAACCATAGGTCGAGAGCTGTCGTTCAAACCACACAACTTTGCGATGCTGTTCGCGAATGTTCGTTGGAACGATGGTTTCGGGAAACACCGACTCGTTGAACTATGCTGATGACGACGGAACTTGCGACCATAGTTGGCTAACGATGCTTTCGGGAAACGCACCCCAGCATGGTGTGTATATACACACAGATGATCCAAAAGATTATGACCACCTGCCTAATCTGCTGTTGGTCCTCTGCCTGCTGCCAAAACAGCGCCCACCTGCTGAGGCATGGACTCTACAAGACCCCTGAAAGTGGCACCAAATACATTAACAGCGGTTCCTCCAAATCAGGTTGGTCCGCCGTGGATCGAACTTGTTGGTCCAGCACATCCCACAGATGCTCAATTGGATTGAGATCTGGGGAATTTGGAGGCCAGGGCAACACCTTGAACTCTTCATCATGTTTCTCGAATTATTCCTGAACAATATGTGCAGGGTGGCAGGGAGAATTATCCTGCTAAAAGAGTCCACCGCCATCAGGCAATACCCATTACCACAAAGTGGTGTACCTGGGTCTGAAACAATCTTTATGTTATCTTTTTACATGAATTGCCAGCGTGTTCTCATCCCAAGACGTCATATAACTGACGCTTTTGACCATATGTCAACATCCGACGTTTTAGGGTACCCTTTAACGTCAGTTAGGTGACGATATCTATTCCTAACCCTACCAGACCTAAACCTAACCGCGTCATCTAACTGACGTTAAAGGTAAAGCGTCAGTTAGATGACGCCCTAGGATCGTTAAAGGTAAAGCGTCAGTTAGATGACGCCCTAGGATCGTCCAGCGCAGTCTCATCCCAAGACGTCATATAACTGACGTCTTGGAACGTCTTTTGATCATACGTCAACATCCGCCTTTTTAGGGTACCCTTAAACGTTGGTTAGATGACGTTATCGGATCCTATCCCAGGCCTAAACCTACCCCTAAACCTACCACGTCATGTAACCGACGTTTAAGGGTACCCTAAAAAGGCGGATGTTGACGTACGGTCAAAAGACGTCTCAAGACGTCAGTTATATGACTTCTTGGGATGAGACTGTGTTAGATCGTCATCTAACTGACGTTAAAGGGTACCCTAAAACGTTGGATGTTGACGTATGGTCAAAAACGTCAGTTGGATGACGTCTTGGGATGAGAATGTGTTGGAATTGCAAGACCCAGGGTTTCTCAGCAGAACATTGCCCACAGGATGATCACACTTCCTCCACCGGCTTGCCGTCATTCCACAGTGCATCCTGGTGCCATCACTTCCTTAGGTAAACGGCTCACACGTATATGTACTGCCTGCGTGATGTAAAAGAAAACGGACTCATCGGACCAGCCAACATTTCTCCACTGCGTCCTTATCTCAGCCCTGATAAGGACACAAGTGAGCCCACCCACACACACACACATACACACACACACACACACACCTGTCATCTGGTTGGGAGAGTAATGCATAACTCAGCTGTATGGCCAACATAATCAGCAGGTCACAACAGCAGGTGCACTTAAGGTGTATACTAAACACACACACACACACACACACTGCACTGCGGAGAGGGAGCTCAGAGCACTTCCATTGTCTGCTGATTTGCTTAAACCCTCATCGCAGGCTCCGGTCGCTATGGTCACGTGTCTCCACGGTAACAAGGTGCCAAATGCAGCGCCGTTCTCCAATAACAATGCTTCCCTTTCTCAGCCACTTTTAATTGCTTGCCTTCTCTCTTTGCAGGACCCACAAAAAGAAAGGAAAAAAAAAAAGCCCATGATTTCTTCCGCCTTTGTTTTCTTTCCAGGATTTTCAAATTAGGCAGAGATCAGCTCACAGACTCCCACTGCCTCTCTCTCTCTCCCAGGCAGCTGAGGTCTTTTTTTTGATGGGTTGCCAGATCATTAGATATGAGGGTTTGGTTACAAACACATTTACACAACATAATCATGATCATCAAACCTCCCATTCGACTGCACATGCACACACACACACTCACACACAACAAGTCTGGAATATCATTATCGAGTCAGGCATCTGCCTCCTTTTCTATCACCCTGTTTCACTTCTTGTGTTGCTCAGGATCATATGAAACTCTGCGTCTGCCTGCTGCGGATCTGGAAACAGCTGACTGAAGCCTTTTTTCAGGCCATGCCAATGAGAAAGCCCTGATCCCAGACTTCCTTTGGCCAATTCCAAGGTGGAATGCAGACCCCTGGCTAACAGTAAATCCAAGATCAGGTGAGAGCCAAAGAGACGACGGGCAGACAGACCTACAGACATCGGGATTGCCTTTTTCTACAAGACTTAAGGTGAAAGAACACAAGAGAGGTAGTTTGTATGTGTGTATTTGTGCAGTGAGACAGAGAAGGAGAAAAGAAAGTCTCTCCAGGTTGACAAATATGTGCCGATGGAGCTTAGACAACATCTATTAATCTGAAGGAACAGAACTGGCCAATGAAGGCAAGTAAAAGATCACAAATTGTATTAATTGTTCATCCGAAAACTTAGGCTGCTCACTTGATGCCTCGCTGCCCTATCAGGCAATGACTCTGCAGGCAGCGTTTGCTACCCCTCGTATCTACAACAAAACAGAGAGCTTTGTGGAAAACTAAGCGAATATTTAATTAACTACAATAGTATTTTCTCACTATAATGACATCAAAAATGTAAAACGTTTGTCAAAAACGTACATTTACATACAAACTAACCACAAATCACAACTTTTAGATGGCATCTTTATTTTTCTAGCTCAACTGTCACAGAATGGAAAGCACAGGATTGTGGGATATCAAAGGCAGTGAAGGATACATCTATGCTGCCTTCAAAAATGTTTTCAAAACCATCAGATAAAGGTATTTCAGAAGACAGGAAGTGATGCTAACATTGAATTTGGACATGCCTTGATGCCTTCCTACCTTGCAATGCAGCATTTATAGGTTTTGGCATGCAACCATATAAACATACATCTCTGACTATACACAGCTCCTACACTTACTTGCTCGGCCACAAGAGGGCGATGGGGGGTAAAGAGCCACATTTTTGTTTTTTTAACTCACAGAACATCCACTCTTTCACAGAGATAAACAGAATCACTCTCACCTCTCCTCAATCCACTCTATCAGTCTGTTTCCTCATGTCCCCAACACACACCAAGATAAATGAACACCTCGTCAGCGGCACTTACCGTAGGTTGCATAACGTACTGTTGGTGAGGCATCCACGACGTACTCTGGACCTGTGGGCGGAAACCAGCATTTCTTAATTTCACTCCTCACCCCCTCCCCTCCCAACGCCTCTTCCCGCTGCCTCGAAGCCCCGATTCCCACAGAGCAGCCGAGGCAGGAGCGAGTAATACAAGTGTGATAATTACACAGGGATCGGAATTCTACAGACAGCGATATTGCATCCTAATTACAGCGCTGCGGCAGCAATTTCATCATCTGAGGCCGACTTGGACCCCAAAAAATATCTCCTTTCATCTCGCCACCATAGTAATTCCAAAAATTACTTCATTTAGGACAGGGTTACTATAATTAACTAAACTATTAAAACCATTTTCGTAACTTCAAATAAAAAAACTTTTACTGGAATAAAATAAAATAATAGGCTATAAATAAAAATAACATTATATTAAAAATATACGTAAATAAAAATTTTATTTCAGCTACAGTAGCGGCGAAAAGTGATGTCCAGAAGGGATATTTGTTTTTAATCACACTACAAGTTAATATTTAATATACATTTAAAAAAAAATAATAATATATGAGTGAAGAATAAAACACTAAACTTGGGTATTTATCTGACAAAGTGTAGCAAACAAGTTATTACTATTTCGTTGATTCTCTCTTGTTTTTGCATGTGTTTTTTTATTATTTTTTTTGACAGACTGGCCAAAAATTATGTCAGCACAATTAGGCATGCTACATTGTGTTATTACAAATAAAACTGACTCCAACTAAGAAAAATGCTTACAAAATCTTTAGCAAATCTTGAATACTATTCGAAAAAAGGCTGAAGATGTCAATGTTTCTAGGCCGGACATAACTTTTGGCCACTACTGACATTTGTCATTTTCATATAGTTTAACTTGATGTACTAAAATAACTAAAAATAAAACAAATAAAAATGTATTAAACAAATAACTATGGACAAAATATTACATATGGACTAAAACTATTTAAATAAAAAAAAGCAAAATATTAATAAAACTAATATTATCACAACGATACTAAAATAGCACAGATTTAGGGCACAGTATACTTGAGTATTCTTTTTATACCAAGCGGACTGAGGATAAGTGTCCACTTCCTGTCTGAGAGGATGGATGTATGCATTTAGATTCGTGAAAGTGCGTTTGAACAGTTGTAGGTGTCTAAATTTATATGCGGTGTCCTTTTATGTTGTTCTAGGAAGAAAAGCCGTTGGGATTTGTTCATCACTGTGATCTGCCTCAGGCGTCTCTCTCTCTCTCTCTCTCTCGCTTTCTCTCTAAACACACTAAGTCCACTAAGATGTGTAAGCGCACACCTTGTCTCTCTCTCTCCGACTGCTAAAAGATTCATGCTCTCGCTCTCCCTCCTTCTCTGCTCTTCTCTGTCCTTTCGCTGGAGAGGGAAACAGTTGTCTCTTGTTCCATTCTCAAAGTTCTAGGGGAGAAATAAAGGTAGCAGCGCATTGATTTCCCGTCAACTTGGCTTTGAACTCATATTGGCGGGTTCAGTGCAGTTTGCAATTTAAAATTAATTCGCCGGCCAGCGGGGCACTTTTGCACAATATCACGCAATTTGATTTAGAGATAATCTTCCTGGCACGCAGAATTTATCATACGAAACGTGCGGGCCGAGAGTTTAAACTAGGACTAGGGTCAGCGTGGGTGGTTTGTATATGTGCGCTCGTTCTCGTGTATGTGTGTGTCGGCGTGTTTGCACGAGAAAGAGGTTCTGAGGACGGGAGGTACATGATCTAAAGGGCTTAGCTATTCTCTACGCTCAGCAATGTTTTGTTTAGTTTAGCTTAAGCCAAATCAATTAAGGATGCTCATAGTCACTGTTTGCTCACTGCAGGGCTGGAGAACAGCGTTAATAAGCTTTCCTAACAAAACAGTAAACACGGAGAGTGATGGAAAAACACGCTATACCGCTCTCCTCATATGTATGTGACAAAAACTGTCTGTTTGCATGTAATTGTGTTTGTAATACAGTTGCCCTCTAAAAGTATTTGGGAACTTTTAGACATTGAAGTTGAATGTCATTGCATTAGAAGTGGCATTCACAAGCAATTGATGCTAGACCTTTTCCCATAAAGTGTTAAATTAATTTAACTAATGACTATGTTTTGTTTGTTTTTTTTAGCTTGAAAGACTATCTTTGCTATCTTTCTTAAAAACAAAAGCATATTTTAAATGACATTAAATAAGACATTTATATATTATCATGTGTCTTAAAGGAGAAGTTTTGCTGATAATTTACTCACCTCCATGTCATCCAAGATGTCCACGTCTTTCTTTCTTCAGTGGAAAATAAATTAAGGTTTTTGTTGAAAACATTCCAGGATTTTCTCCATATAATGGCCTTCATTGGGAACCAAATGTTACAAGGTCCAAATGAGAGTTTCAGTGCAGCTTCAAAGGGTTTTAAACGACACCAGACGATGAATAAGGGTCTTATGACCCTTCGTGTCACGACTCGAAAAAAGATTTGTTCATTTTGATGAAAGAGTTTGAACAGGAGAGTCACGAACACTCATCACAGAACAGAGCAAGGCGATCATTTGTGCTTATAAAACTTAAACTTTTTTATTTATTTTTTAAAAGGCCGATCGTTTCTCTAGACAAGACCCTTATTCATCGTCTGGTGTCGTTTAAAGCCCTTTGAAGCTGCACTGAAACTCTCATTTGGACCTTGAACCGTTTGGCTCCCATTGAAGTCCATTATATGGAGAAAATCCTGAATGTTTTCATCAAAAATTTCTTTTCGGATGAAGAAAGAAAGACATGGACATCTTGGATGAAATGGGGGTGAGTAAATTATCAGCAAATGATTTTTAAAAGTGAACAACTCCTTTAAGCATCCAGATGTTTAGGGTTCACGCTATAAATGTCTCTGAAAGTGTGAGTATGTTTGCCCGCAGCAAGTGTTTGTATATGCTGTGATCTTACCTGATATGTGGAGACAGGAGAGGCTGCGATGAATGGAGTGATTGACGTTTGAGCGATCATGCGGTTTGTGGAGATACTGTATGGTGAGGAGTAGAACCTGCAAGATGAAAATAAAATATGTATATATATATATATATATATATATATATAAAGGTGTGTAGTTTGGTTCTCGTGATCTGGACCAAGCAAGAAAATGAAACATTTAGCCTTCGTTCGCTTCACTTTAGTTCACACTTTAATTTTTAAAACCAAACCTAAAGAAAAAAGAAGCTTTCATGATGTATATTTTGTGACAGAACTTACGAACACTCAGGCGCACCAAGGTTCGGATAGCTGCGTTCACACTTTCAAATGACCAGAGCAATCTCACCGGAGTTTATTTTGAGTAAAGACAAGGGTTTTTAAACTTGGGTTTGGTTATTTAGTTTTTTGAGGAATAGAAATTTCAAAAGAACCACATTTATTTGAAATAGAAATGTTTTGTAACATTACATATGCATCCTTGTTGACTAAACAAAGTTTATCATTAATAAAACGACCATGTCTGTGTACATCTGTTTATGCATAGGCTTTTCACAACAGTTAATTTGTTGAGCCCTCGGTGTTACCAGAGCAACAGCATTTTCCAATAGCTACAGTTCTCAGGCAGGACTTTATTTATCATTGTGTACCTACTGCGGACATGTTTCATCTGCAAGCTCCGTTGCTAGGCTTTATTGATCGGCTTGTCTGGCAGCTGAGAAATGGAGCGTGGGGAGAGAAGCGCTGTCTGCCCTAGAGAGCACATGCTCCCTTATGTCACAGTCACATAAGACGACCTGAGTGAGAGCATGTCCAGGAAGAAAGTAACACAATCTTCGAGGCAGGGTTAAAATGCGAAGCTTTACACACCCGTTTACGTTCCTGTGCAATCCTGTTTTTAGCCAGTTATTTATGCCAGCTATTATCTTCAGCCTGTTGACATTGAGACGGCATGGGCTATTAAACAATTAAGAAGGCTGTATGAACCCTCTCTATATATGCTAATGTGGTAGAAGTGATGGAAAGGAGAAAGGAAACAAATAAAGCTTTCTCTTCCTCTGCACTTTCTAGTCAGCTCTATTATTTACGAATCAGAATCTGCCTTCTTTTCCCGATTGCATATTTTTGTCATTCCTTATTTTGTTCCCTTTACCGCAGACAGCAATGCTGAGTCAGAGGTGCAAAAGGAGCCGGAGTTGGTGGCTGAGGTACATTTGGGAGACTATGACTGTTTCCCCAGTGGGCTGGATAAGAGACAGAGCCCTGGGCACTTCGTCCACAGGAGCGGACAGACAGAAAGGGACTTATTTACCCAAGCCCGGCACCCATCTCCATGCCCTGAAACCAGCACCTGACGAAACACTTACACCTTTCGGTGCAACAACGGCACAAAATGCAGATTGGATATGACATGTATGTGTGTGCCTGTGTACAAGACAACTCTGTAAAGTTTGGCATTATTCACTGCAGCTCAGACATTGTAAACCCTGCTGAAAAGACCCAATTAAATCTGCGTCGAGACAGTCTTGCTGGTTAAGTTGAACCTAAGCCATATGTATCATTAATATGATCAATACCTTCCTGAAAGTATATGATGTACCACATATCTTCAGCCCCCTGGTGGATTTTTCATGTTTCTCAGGAAGTAGAATTATTTTTTTTGTTATAATTTTCAAATGTACACCTTTTTTGCTGGAATAATTTTGATAAATGAACAAAAATAATAACTTATTTTTTGATAGCACAAGCAACTTGTTTACTTAATACATTTTGCTTTGAAAATGATACAACTACCAACTACCATGTATTATTTTAATGTATCGTTACAAATATAATGCATTTCTTAATGTAATATACCCACCAAATAAAACGAAAATAATTTTAATAATTTAATAATTAAATTAATTGAAAACTGCAAACTTATGTTTTCTTATGAATACACAGATACAGTATGAGTATACACACTCCATTACTATTTCCATTAAGATGTTTTTTTTTTAATAAATTAATACTTTTATTCAGCAGTAAGTATCAAAAACCAGAATAAAGAACTTTTTTTGAATAAATGCTGTTCTTTCTACCCATCAAATAAGTCTGCATAACAAAAATATTAATTACTAGCAGAACTGTTTTCAACATTAATAATAATCTTGAGTACCAAATCGACATATTAGAATCATGTGACAACGAAGACGAGTATTGATGTTAAAAATTCAGCTTATCCATGATCACATGAATACATTTTATGATATACATTCAAATAGAAAACAGCAATTTTAAAATGTAATAATATTTCATAAAAGAAACTTCTTTTTTTTTTTTTAATTCCAAAAAGTCTTCTCTAAAGATTATTAAAAAGTGATTTCAAATGTCTTTCTTTACTGGATTAGGAAACCAAGCATACTAGCATATAAAACAACTATGTACTTTATGTTGGTGACTGCTGGTCTTTTCAGCAAGAAAACACCGGTATAAGGATGGATTCACTGCAAGAAGCTTATTTAAGTGATGGACGTACCATTGTATCCTCGGACAACCTGCAAAGCAGTTAAAACTCAAAAAACAAATGACTCTTACCCGTTCTGCATTGCAGTGGGGTCATAGGTCAGCGCCATGCCACTCTGAAACACAAGACAGACAGGACAAAGAGTGAAAGATTGTTCCGGTGAAGCAAGTATCCTATAAAGTCTATTGAGTAATGCTGGCAATAGAACAGGGTCATCTAATAGGGGCCGGCCAAGTGCTCTTTATATCTTTAAAAGCACATGGCCGAGACTTGTAGCTGTGGATCTATTACCTCGGAGCGCTGGGCTGTAATACCAGACAGGCTCGGGTTCGATACGGCACAAAGTTATTTGGTATTTACAAGACTGCAGAAAGCATAGCTCATGTTGACAGAGCCGTGCTAGCTAAGTGAATAAGGGGGGAAAGCTGGCCGCTTAGACATGTATTGGACTGGAGCAGATAAACAACGCTCATATACTGCAACTTGTCGGGCGCCAAGTTTTCCTCCGTGGGGGAGAAAACCTGGAGACTGGTGGGAAAACCATCGACCCAACCTATGTGTGACTGGACACTCTATCTCGTTAATGTGGACCCCGGGGGTTGCATATTGAAATACGCCTTCATGAGAGAGTGCAGCCAAAGTCATGGCGTCTGCCAGCTCCTCATAATGGGCGCTCATGGTCTGGTTGGTATCTGGGCATGTTTCCCTTAACTGCCGCGTCATGCCAGCAGCTGGGGCTGCCCAGAAAATGCCAGTTGTTCACCCTGCCGCCATTTTCCCATCAGCCAACCCAGACGGCGAGACTTGCTTTGCGGGAATAAAAACAGGAGAGGGGAGATTAAAGGACTTGTGCGAAAGACTGGGAACTTAAACATGGCCAGATGACTCCATCAATCAAATGTTTTCTCCTCCTTCCCTTTCTTTCACTCCTTTCTTCTAGCCTATGGTTGAAACAAAGGATTTGTTCCCGACTTATACCCTTCTTCAGGGTTGGTATCCTGGGAAAAGGAAGGCGCAGGGATAGTAGGGAAAAGCGGTAAGTACAGCGGATCAGGGTTGTCTGTCATTTAGAATTGAATTGAAAATGCCTTTTAAATTCCATTTGCTGCATTTGAACTGACAAAGAAAAAAAGGGTACATCATTGCGATTTGAATTTTAAACTTAAGAAAGCAGAAATAAAACTGTTTAAAATTCAAAGAAATTAATTAAACTATTAATATCATTGATATCATAGGCAAACTGAAAGTTCGCTTGACAGAGCCTTGTTTGGATGGATGGATGGATGGATGGATGGATGGGTGGGTGGGTGGATGGATGGATGGATGGATGGATGGGTGGATGGGTGGGTGGGTGGATGGATGGATGGATGGATGGATGGATGGATGGATGGATGGATGGATGGATGGATGGATGGATGGATAGATAGATAGATAGATAGACAGCACTGACCTCTCCTTCCCGGGGCCACGGTCGGCCATTTTGAGGGTACTTGCTCTGACTCTGCCTCTTCTTCTGTCCCCCGTCTGCAAACTTGCAAAGCAGTGGCTCCGTCGGGGCTGTTGAGAAGAAGGAACAAACACAGAAAAATATCAAAGATCAGTCAGTCAGTCAGCAAGGCGTGAGAGGGAGGAGTGGATGGATACCTCCATAGGTCAACCGCAGTACGATTGATGGAAAGGTCACGACCTCGGCAAAGAAAGTGGAGTGTGTATTGAACAGAGAGGGAAATGTTACACCGCAGGTATCACACCCACACAGAGCAGCGGAGGAATATCCAATGACCTTTTGAAGTTCAACACCCCTTGACTATCTCTCCTCTATTTCCTGCACCCCAACCTCCATTATGTCTTTGACACTCAGACCATCGACTCGCTTTTGGCACGGATGTCCTCTCAAATCTCCACCATCAAAACAACTTCCCTGGCAGAGTTTCAAAGCTTTTTGTTTAATATTTGCGAAATAATAAATGACCTGAACGATACAGTAAATAACTTAAATGGCGTCGTAATGATCTGAGCCGACCGAAAAGTTTCGAAAGATTGATATTTGTTTTTGGTGCTCACTGGAGTGTATATTTTGCTTATTATCTCTTTTATACACGGAAAAAAAAGTGCCTCTACGACCCAGAGGGGCCGGTTCATGCAACAGGCGAGCAGAGAGTTTAAAAGAGTTCTCTTCCAAAAGTGCAAAGCGCTGAGGCGAAACACTTTAATGTTCTCGCTCCGTCATGATGGCAATATGAATTGTGGGGTGTGGAACACCTCTCTGAAGTCTAGGAACGCACTTAAAGAGCAGGAAATCTCGCTCTTGAGTTGAACAAATTCCTGTACGCCACAGCTAAGCTAAACTTAATTTGGTTTCCTCAGCAACCAGAAAAAAACTCATTTAAAGCAAGCACAAACTTCTTGGATGATGGGATCTGGCAGAGAGCGATGATAGATGCAGGAGGAGGAGTTTCTGCTTTGTGGAGTCCAGACAACTATTCGGAGTAATCCTGCCCTCTGGCAATATGACTCTACAGTCACCTCTGAAAGTATGTTAGTTTGGCAGAGAAAAATGAACACTTTCTCTTTGCACGCTCTCACCTGCACTGCGATATTCCAGCAGCTCTGTGGAACAATAGAGAGCTGTTGTATTACAGGCTGCAGAGGACGCTTTGTGCGGAAATAAGCACATATATTGCATAAAACCAGATAAACAAATACAAAACAAGCAGCTGAAACAGCTCAACAGAACATTATGTATTCTGTAGCTGAATAGAATATTTAGTGGGTGCTGTTTGTTCTTTTTTTTTGGTCTATTGTTTAGAATGAAACATCAAACAAGGGATCAAGTCTTCAAAACGGAGGTGTCTCAATAAAATAGTTTTTCCGTGAATGAGAAAAACCCTAATTGGACATGATGCCAGAGAGAGAATGAGATGAGAGAAAAGGGCAGTAGAAACAATAAAACGAATAGATAAGAGAAGAGAAGAATGAGACAGATGAGAGGAATTCAGATCAGAATGGAAGAAACAAAACGAGAGGAAAAGCGAGCATGGCCGTAATAAGGGTTTGGAAATGAGTGAGATCTGGGTTGGAGTGTTAAGAATTGTGCAATAATAACACATAAAAATGCATTAATGTATTTCTTTAGAACCCTTTTAGCACTCTACACTTTGGGTACACTCTCTTTATTCGTCTATTTTGGGGGGATGGCCATTCTTAAATTAGACCTTATTAATTGCATCACAATTTGTTAATAGTTTACTATTGACCAGATCATGTTATAATTTTTTTTATTAACAAAACAATACTTATAAGTGTAATACACTGTAAAAAACAATGAGTAAAATTTACTTAATTTTTTAAGGCATGTTTTTGCACTGATATTTTTTTGAGTACATTTCACACATAGAATTTAATTAAACTATACTTTACTAAGTTAAGCGAAAATAACATAAGAAATTAAGTAATTTTTATTTAGTTCATTATAGGTTAAATAATATCTATTTTATTAAATATATATGGTTAAATTGATCTTTTTAAGTATAAGATTTACTCAAAATGTTTAAGTAATCAAGTAATATATATATATATATATATATATATATATATATATTTGAATGAGTCATTTTAAGTAGAAAATGTCCAAATGTCACAAAATGGCAAGTTACTAATCCTAACAACAAAAACAATGATAAAATAGTGTAAATACAGCTGGAAATCAGGGAAAACTAAACCTCATTAATTATTCATAGGCCAGTGCATGATGGGAACACCAGTATCAGAAAAGAGTAATTTTACTTAATTTTATAATGTTGGTATTTACACTTTCATTTCTACACGATTGAACTGAGTACTATTACAGAATTAACTTTTTTTTAAATTCTTGCCTGAACTAACTTTTTTCATGTAAATTAGCCTACATTGTTTTTTCTGTAGTATTTACTTCACCACAAAATCATTTTTATCAGTGCAGTTTTCATTAATAAGCATTGATATGAATGATAAGTATGAGAACTTCGCTCTTACAGTGTGAATGATTTTAGCATGACTTTGCGAAAGGTTATGTATCGGACTGAATTAAATTGCATATAGCCTTTTTCGTGACTTGTGTTTGCATATTTAATTCTGTAACCTACTTGTTCTACAGATCAGTGTACTAATGCAATTATGCTACAGTTTTTTGATAACATTGATACCATATCTTAAAGATAAAATGCAACTTCTTACTTCCTAAAGTGTCACATTAAGCGGAAAAAAACCAAGTCTAAAGATATTTATAATAACTGAATCTGGCAACATGGCGGAGACTGCCCCCGCTCCCTCACTCAAAACTCTCTCTCAAGCCCCATTCAATCCGCTATCGTCTCACAACGACATAAATCACTGTCCATCATTTTCACATCACGGACGTTAAACAATCTAGCAAACTGTCTAAACTGAATTATACATACAGACATTCATAGGAGCTTTAACGGCTAATTAGTCATTCAGAGAAATTAAAATTTTATTTTTTTAAAATGAAAAATTTACAGTGTTTCGGCCCCCGGTGGCAAGATGACATATAGCCCATGTACGCATTTTTCCAAAATTAAAATGTTTACATTCAAAACAACAGCAATTTTCTCTAAATTATATAAAATATCTCACTATATGAATTATTCATAAGAGAGGAGAGGAGAGAGGAGAGTATTCGGCCCCTGTGATCTCAGTGTGCTTTGAGCTGAAGTAAGGTGGGTTAAAAGTCTCTCTCCTCCACCTGCAGAGGAGTCAGGGTTTACACCTGCAGCCTTGTCATCACCCTCCTATTATACACACATGCACACGCTGCCCAGCGCTGATAACAGCACCACAACACAAGTGACTCCTTTGTGAAGGACAGACAGAAAACGAGGCAGCAGAAAAGATCACAGCTTCTGCGGCAGGCTCGAAATGTTTGAGCAAGCAGCCCCCCCCCCCCCCCCCAGCCCCCTCCCATCTCAAAAACAATGAGTCTGTTTGTGTGTGTGTCTATGTATGTGTGTTTCAGCTGAGACAGTGGGAAACGCCCTGTATTAAACCCCCTCGCAGTTTAGGTTGAACTCTAAAATAATAACCAGAGCCATCATAAAACAGGGAAGCCAAATAATCTTGGGAGTTTTTGTGCTGCTTTTGGAGCGTGGTGGAATATCCGTGCTGATTTTATGAGCAGACTCTGCTTGGCATGCGCTTTGTTTGTTTTGCTAGCCAGGTTGCCCTGAACTTAAAGTGCTGAATCTCACTCGTGCGGGGAACGTTTTGAGTCTTTGTTAAGAGTGACTGATTTCTGATTCGGACCCAGAATTCATCCAGGGGAATCATACTACACTGCACACAAAAACAAACACCCTTCACTAACAACCTTTCTATTTCATGTGTCTGCGGCTTCAATCAGACAGGCCTAAGTATTACTATTGCTTAAATCATTTACCTCTTCAATCTGTAATTCATATAATTTGTCCAATAAACAAATTATACCTGAAATCAAATTGTCATACATTTTTTTCTAAGCAGCCACACTTACAATTTTCATCAGTTAAAACAGCAAAAAAAGTATTTACACTGCTGTTTTGACTTGAGACAGTAAGCAACCAAGAGACAACCACCCAGAACACACTAACTGCATTGCAACACCCTAGCAACCACACAGAACACATTAGTAACTGCAAAGCAAAACCCTAGCAATCACCCAGAACGCCTTAGAAACTGCACCCCCATCCCATCAACCATCTAACGGCATTCTAGCAACCACCCAGAACATCCTAGCAACACCCTAGCAACCTCCATTAACACATCAGCAACCTTCTTGCTATACCTTGCAAATGCAAAGTAATCCACTATCAAACAACAAGAACACCCTTGGAAATCCTATAGCATCATTTTAGCAATCACCCAGAACATCCTAGCAACACCCTAGCAACCACCTATAACATCTCAGCAAACTTCTTGCTACATTTTAACAACCACTGATACTGTGAAAATGCAAAGTAATCCACTATCAAACACCCAGAACACCCTTGTCAATCTTCTAGCATCATTTTAGCAACCACCCAGAACATCCTAGCAACACCCTAGCAACCACCTATAACATCTCAGCATCATTCTTGCTACATTTGAGCAACTACCCATACCTTATAAATGCAAGTCAATGCACTATCAACCACAGAGAGTACCATTGACAACCTTCTAGCAACATTTTAGCAACCACCCAGAACATATAGCAACACCCTAGCAACCACCTATAACATCTCAGCAAACGTCTTGCTACATTTTAACAATCACCGATACTGTGAAAATGCAAAGTAATCTACTATCAAACACCCAGAACACCCTTGGCAATCTTCTAGCATCATTTTAGCAACCACCCAGAACATCCTAGCAACACCCTAGCAACCACCTATAACATCTCAGCATCATTCTTGCTACATTTAGCAACTACCCATACCTTATAAATGCAAGTCAATGCACTATCAACCAGAGAGTACAACTGACCACCTTCTAGCAACATTTTAGCAACCACCCAGAACACCCTAGCAAGCACCCAGACTGCACTC